AGGGACAAAGGGAGGAGGTGGTGACAGAGCCCAGGGGCCAGACCTGTGTGGCAGGAGAGGTAGCCAGATATGCTCTCTGCCCCAGAGACACCATCTGAGGCAGAGAGAAATAGGAATAACTACCCCAATTTCTCCCTCCCCCCTCTCCGCCTCTCAGTCTCCTGCAAGCGTCTCCCATTGGCTGAAGGCAGCCAGAAGTGAACTGACCAGAGACCTAAGAAAAATGAAGCTGGCAGGATGCAGCCCTCTGCTAAACAGAGCAGAGCAGGGGAAAAGGGAAGAATGGATCTGAGGACAGAACAGCCAATGACCAGCACAGGTACCATTCTTCTAGTCAATAAATACATCCTAAGTGCACCCTATGTGCCAGGACTCTGCTAGGTATTGGGGGTGATAAAGAGCCCACAGAGAGAGAGCACAGTTTGGGGCAAGAAGATAGAAGTGCTTCTCTACAGCAGAAGGAAGCTTCCACCCCAAGAAGTCTTCCTCTAGCCCCTACTGTACCTTGGTGCAAATCAGAAAAATGTGCTCCTCCAGGAGGACCCAGCCCCTTGGGCATACAGCCTGGCAAACAGCCGGGGCAAGCTGCGTAGTCCTGGGCAGGACACTATTTCCACAAACAGCCCTAGAGATTCTGCTTTGTCTCTAGCAGGAATCCCTAACCTGAAGGCTCCTGGAGCAAGAGTCAGTAAAATCACATCATCCAATCATTCATGTGACAAATACTTGTTGAGCAACTACTAGGCGCCGGGCAGTTCACCTAGGTCCTAGGGATACAGCAGTGAAAAAACACAAAAACTTCTCCGACTTCAAATATGGCAACCTGCCAAAAATTGTCCACTATAGGCAGAGATTGTAACAGGTGTTCATTGTACTATTATTATGCTTTTCAGTGTGTTTGAAATTTTTCACTTAAAAGTTGGAAGAAAAAAATCTTTGCCTTCAAAAAGACAGACAATAAATTTGTGTATACGCACACACATATATGGTGGTGTTACACCACATGAAACAGGAATGAGACCGGGAAGACAGGAAGCAGGAAAATGGGTTGTGAAGTATATATGGAGATTCCAGTTTTATTTATTTATTTTTAAAGATTTTATTTCTTTATTTGATAGCACAAGTAGGCAGAGCGGCAGGCAGAGGGAGAGGGAGAAGCAGGCTCCCCCACTGAGCAGAGAGCCCGATGTGGGGCTCGATCCCAGGACCCTGAGATCATGACCTGAGCCGAAGGCAGACACTTAACGACTGAGCCACTCAGGCGCCCCAAGATTCCGGTTTTAAATAGGGTGGTCCAGGGGCACCAGACTGGCTCAGTTGGTAGAGCATGTGACTCTTGATACTGATGTCCAATTCACGCCCCAAATTGGGCATAGAGTTTTTTTTGTTTTTTGGTTTTATTTAGGGCATAGAGATTATTTTTTAAAAAAGGGTGGTCCAGAAACTCCTTACTGAGATGATTTCTGAATAAAATCTTGAAGAAGAGGAAGGAATGATCTAGACTGCTGTCTGTAGGAAGAGATGTCCTGGCAGAAGGCACAGAAGAGACAAAGCCCTGAGGCAGGAACATGCCCAGCATTTTCCAGGAAGAGCAAGGAAGCAAGTGTGTGGCTGGAGCAGAGTGAGACTGGGTGCCAGAAGCAGGGGACAGGGTCATAGAGGAAAGGGGAGGGAGGTGGGCAGATGACGGGGGAACTCTGAAGGCCCTTGCGGGGACTGTAGCTTTTACTGAGTGACAGGGGGGCCACTGTAAGGATGTGAACCAAGGAGATGAGTGAGCAGTGACATGGGCTGACTTGGGTGTCTAAAACACAAGCATCTTCACGGGGTGGAGGGTCTGCACAGCTTCTCTCAGATTCTTAAAGGTGTCTAGTAGACCCCCCCACCCCACAAGACTAAGAATCAGAGTGACGTTGGTTTTCCCTTCGCATTTTGCCGCTTTGTCTTCGAAACACGGCAGGGAAGCCTATAACCCTTTCCTGTCTGCTTGGGGTGCTGTATTTGCCCCGGGGACCCCCAGATGGGGAGGGCAATAGCCACCCCGGGCACACCGGGGCCCACGCTCCGCGGATATCGGGTCTTCGGGCTCGCCCACCAGCCTTTTGGCCACCAGGCCGAGGTACCAGGCGGCACTCGACCTGCACAGGCCCTGAGACGTCCTTCCCCACGCCCCCGATTGTGCACCCTTCCCGCCGCGCCGCAAACTCAAGGTCTCCGCAGGAAGGGGCGGGCTCTGCCGGCGGCTTTGCTGGGGCCCCGCGTTGCCATAGCGACCCCAGCCGGGCCGCGGACGCCCGAGCAAGCGCTGCACTCGGTTACTGAGGAGGGAGGCTGCGACCCCGTCGCTCCGGTCCACTGGGCTGCGGGTCCATGCGCCGCCCCGCAGGTGAGCTGGCGCAGGTGGATGCGGTGGGGGCTCGGGATGGGCCCCCAGCCGTCTGGGCCCCGTCCCTCCGCCTTCCATTGTGGTTAATTTATTATTTAGAATCAAAACAACCGGGCAGAGTCCCTGTCTCGCCTCACAAGGCTTTCTTTTCCTATCGGTAGCTCACGTATTGAGACCGCAGACTCCTCCTGAGCAGAACCCTTGCTCCCAAGAAAGAGTGGGACAGAGGATGATTTTATATTACACTGATGAGGCATTAAGTAACACCCAATGACATCGTAAAAAAGTTATTAGGTTCTAGGTTCCCTTACACTTCTGAGTAAACCAAAGAGAAAGTGTCATTTCGGGGCTAACAGGGCATTAACACCTTTCTGAACATTTGCTAATCTCTACTGTAAGCCACAGTATCTAGCTAAGACTTAAGGTGGTTTCTTTATAGTATTTTTATTTTTACAGTGCCTTCTCCTTATGGTATCTGATACGGTTTTCCATTTTTTTTTTAAAAGATTTTATTTATTTATTTGACAGAGAGAGAGATAGTGAGAGCAGGAACACAAGCAGGGGGAGTGGGAGAGGGAGAAGCAGGCTTCCCGCCAAGCAGGGAGCCCGATGCGGGGCTCGATTCCAGGACCCTGGGATCATGATCTGAGGGGAAGGCAGACGCTTAACGACTGAGCCACCCAGGTGCCCCTGGTTTTCCATTTATAGTAATGACATGTAGTTTCTTTCTTGGATACATGTTATTGATTTTTTTAAAGTGAATTAATTTACATACAAAGATTCATCGTTGTACAGGTGGTACTAGGAAATGGGAGGAAAAAAAGAAAAACGTTAAATTTAGGATCTGAAACTGTTTCTTTCCTCCTAGCTTTTGCCCTTGCTGTTTTCTTTGCCAGGAGTGACTTACCCTGTTCCTAGGCATGATTGTCAAAATATGTGCCAGCCAGTGTGGTTGATCAGCCTGTTCAGACTCCTGGAGACCCTGCTATAGCCCAACAGCAGGAACTCCTTCATGTGCAGGTCCAGTCAAAATGAAAAAGGGGGCCCTCACTCATAAAGTATTAAGAATTTAAAAACAGTGACAGCAAAGGAGTAAACCAAGCATGGGCCCTTCTAAGGGTGGGCCCTGTTCGACTGCACAGGTTGGTACACCTGTGAGGCTGGCCCTGTGTGGGTGAATGCCTGGGACACCATGATCTGAAACCTGCTTAGCCCAGAGGTCATTCTAATTGGTCAGCACCTCTCATGCTAATGGTTAAATATTTCACTCCAGCCCCCGCTGCTAGCACCGCTTGGCGTGTGTGTGTGTGTGTGTGTGTGTGTGTGTATCCCCCAAACCCATGGAGCAGGATAGATGGTATTTGCTGAGGGGAAACAGATCCCCATGATTTGGAGGAGACCATCTTTATCACCTTGCAGGAGCCCCATGGGGACAGACAGATAGACGTGAATGTCTGCACTGGAGATCTTGGGGACATGAAGAGCACAGGTGGGGGGCTCCCAGACCAAGGAGAGACCCTAGACCACCCAAAGTTTCTCTGCAACCCCATCAGGCACAGTGGGGGGGAGAGCCCTGGTCTGATGGAAAAACCTAACCAGGTAATAAGGCAGACAAGTAGAGTTTCTGGGCAGAGTCTCCAGCCATCCTAGTGCTCCTGGGACTGTCCCAGCTTCAGCACTGAAGTCCAAGTTCCTAGGAAACCCCTCAGTCCTAGGCAAACCCAGACAGTCGGTCACCTAGAGGTAGTATCTTTAGTTGGTGGGTTCCCCCGACAGCTTCTTTACTTTTAATTTTTTTTTTAAATTTTAAAGATTTTATTTATTCATGTGAGAGAGAGAGAGGGAGAACAAGTGGAGGGCAGAGGCAGAGGGAGAAGCAGGCTCCCCGCTGAGCAGGGACTAGACCCCAGGACCCTGGCATCATGACTTGAGCCGAAGGCAGATGCTTCACTGACTGAGCCACCCAGGTGCCCTTTTTTTTTTTTTAAGATTTTATTTATTTATTTGACAGAGAGCGAGAGAGCACAAGCAGAGGGAGCAGCAGTGGGAGAGGGAGAAGCAGGCTCCCCACTGAGCAAGGAGCCTGATGTGGGGCATCCTTCCCAGGACCCTGGGATCATGACCTGAGCCAAAGGCAGACACTTAATGACTGAGCCACCCAGGCGCCCCTCCCCTGACACCTTCTAAAGCCAGGCCCTGGATGTTTCCAGCACCCTCTAACAGATAAGGCAGGACCAAAGGGGCTGCAGTGTTGAGTACTGGGTCCAGGGAAGGGGTCCCCGTAGGCTGTGCTGTAGCGCCTATCTCCCAGCCCACAGTGGCCTGGCTCCCCCCCAACCCCCCACGCACATCTCCTGCAGTGGATCCCAGTGCTCACCACTGGGGCCTCCGGGCCAAACTCTAGCCTTAGGGCCAGCATCCACTCTGATTGGTCATACTGGTTATTAAATATGTGACTGTCAACCACTGGTGGGGGGAAGCTTCTTTCTGGTGCCATCACAAACCCCCTCCTCTACTGGTTTCCCTGGGTTCCCAAGCAATTGTGTCATCAGACCCACCTCAGCGGGGCCCTAGAGATGCAAAGGAGCTGACAGGCAAGGGTCAGTCCAGCACAGAAGGGTCACCCTCAAAGGGCTGCTTGCTCATCTGCCTGGGGACTCAGAACATACATGACTCATGTCATTTGGGCTCAGACAAATGCCTCCCCAGGAAGCCCCAGGATCCTGGCACTACTAGGCGCACACTGAGCCCCTGATGTCCCTAACCCTTTACCAGCACCCCTGGGCCCCACAGAAGCAGCCAACATGCCCATCTCCAAGTGCTTGCAAAAGTCGGAGCCCCTGTGGAAGGGGTGGGACCGGAAAGCCCAAAAGAACGGCCTGAGGCACCAGGTGTACACTGTCAGTGATGACTGCTATGTGGGTGAGTGGAAGGACAACATGAAGCACGGTGAGTGGGGGACTCAGGGGCCCAGGGGGCTCATGTGGAGTCTGGACTGTGGTGACTGGGACCTGACTGGGGCCAAGGAAGTCGCTGGCAGAGCTCACTGGAGACATAAGATGTGTCCCCAAGGCTCCCTCAAGGGGTAAATGCCACTGACCTGGGCCAGCCAGGGGTCTCCACTCGCTGAGGCTCTGGAACCAAACTCAGCCCTGACATCAGATGAGCGAAGCCCTCAGGGACCAGCAGGGGACAAAGGGGTCTTGAGATACCAACCGTAACCACAGCCAGGGTTCTAGGGACTCCAGTGCAGTCCTACGCTCTGAGACCTGGGCTAAACATGCGGCCGGCTAGCAGGAGGAACAGGTGCCCCCCCAACCCAGCTCGCAATGGGGATTTAAACGGCTCTGACGTGGGGGTCTGACCAGCAGTGGGTTAGGGAGGACACACACACACACACACACACACACACACACACACACACAACTAGCTGGGGCTTTAACTTTAACTGCAACTTTTTTTTTTAAAGATTTTATTTATTTATCTGAGAGACAGCAAGAGAGAGAGAGAGCACAAGCAGGAGGGAAGGGCATGGGGAGAGGGAGAAGCAGACTCCTGGACTCTAGGATCATGACCTGAGCCGAAGGCAGACCCTTCACTGACTGAGCCACCCAGGTGTCCCACTTAAACTGCAACTTTAACCAGCAAATGGCATGGGGTTCCTTGTGACGCAAACTAAGCCCTGAAGAAAAACAAGTGTTTTTTGTTACTGTTTTTGTTTTTAGTTTTATTTATTTAGGGGCGCCTGGCTGGCTCAGTCAGTTGAGCATATGACTATTGATCTCGGGGTTGTAAGTTTGAGCCCCATGTTGGGTGCAGATTACTTAAAAATAAAATCTTTTTTTTATTTCAGAGAGAGAGAGAGGGAGAGCATGAGCGGGAGGGGCAGAGGGAGAGGGAGAGAGAATCTCAGGTGGACTCCGCACTAAGCCTGGTTGCAGGCTGATGTGGGGCTGTGTCTCACGGCCCTGAAATCATGACCTGAGCCAAAATCAAGAGTTGGACACTTAACCGACTCCGCCATCCAGGTGCCCCTTAAAAATGAAATCTTTTTTTTTTTTAAAGATTTTATTTATTTATTTAATTGACAGAGAGAGAAAGCGACAGTGAGAGAGGGAACACAAGCAGGGGGAGTGGGAGAGGGAGAAGCAGGCTTCCTGCCGAGCAGGGAGCCTGATGCGGGGCTCGATCCCAGGACCCCGGGACCATGACCCGAGCCGAAGGCAGTCGCCCAACCAACTGAGCCACCCAGGTGCCCCTAAAAATGAAATCTTAAAAAAAAGTTTTATTTATTTAAGTAATTTCTACACCCAACATGGAGTTCGAACTCATGACCCTGTGATCAAGAGTCACGTGCTCTTCTGACTGAGCCAGCCAAGTGCCCAAAGAAAAACAAGTTTTGATTTAAAAAAGATGGTATGGCTTCTTACTCAGGTCTTACAATTCCAGATGCTATGCTCTTAACCACTCTTTTCTCCTGCCTTCCTGAGTTAAGTACTTTGGAGTCCAGAATCCTGGGTCAGAATCTCAGCTCCACCAACTATGACCTTGAGTGACTAATTACCCCACTCTGAGCTTCAGTGTCCCATTCTGTAAAATGGGAAAATGCCTATTAGTAAAGATAAGAAATGACATCTACCAAGTGTGTAGCCCAGGCTCTGCGCAGAAGGGTTTGTGAGTGTTTGAGGGCTGAGCATGGCAGGGATCACCACCACTCAGAACTTTCCTCATCCAGAAGCACTCCAAGTGGTGGCATCAGGATATGAAGAGGACCAGAGAGGAGACGTGAAAGTGGCCATGAGGACAGACAGAGGTGATGTTTGAGCTGAGCACACGGGATAAGGATTAGCTCGGCAGAAGGGCGTGTCTTCTAGATCGTGGAATCACAGCGGAAGGATTTGGGGGGGGTGGTAATTAAGTCTTGCTCAAGGAACAGACTGGAAGCCAGTGTGCCCAGAGCAGAGAGAGAGAATGGGCACACCAGGGGTCCAACCATACAAAACTTTGTAAGAAGGGATAAATTTGCCTTTAACCTGGAAGCGAACAGTCTCATTGAACCAACTCGGATCACATGCCCTTCACTGAACCAATCACAGTGGCCCGAGCTGGTTGGTTAGCGTTGCCAGAGGGAGGAGCCAGTTCCATGCAGACCTTCAGGATTGAGAGCTCAGGAGGGGCTGGTTCCCCCAAAGAAACAAAACTAAAAGAAGGACAGGTAGAAAAACCGGGTGAGAGCTCTACCTCAAGGGCACGAATAATTGGTAACATCTTTTGTATTTGCAGGCACTGTTCTAAGTGTTTTCCTTATGTTAATGAATTTAGTGATCAGTACAACCCCATGAGATATTCTCATCCCCGTTTTACAGATGAGGAGCCTGAGGCCCAGGGAGTTAAGTTACTCGCCCTAGATTAAGAAGCTCACAGGGACAATGTTGGATTTGTTCCTGAGCTACTAAGGACCAAGACATGAATTAGCCCATATAGGTACTCCACAAATATTTTATTCATCCCTTTGTTCAACAAATGTCTTTGTTCAACGTGTATTGGTCACCTGCAACGTGCCAGGCACTGTTCATCAATGTGGGAATAGAGCAGTGAACAAAATAGACCAAAGTTTGTGTCCTCATGGAGTGCACTTCTCATGGAGAGCTAGACAATAGACAATAAATGATAGAGAAATGAATTATCTGATACGTTAGGAGTTGATAAGCAATATGGAAAGAAACAGAGCAGGGTAAGGGGGTAGGATAGGCTTGTGATTTTATATGGGATGGTCAGGGCAGGCCTCATTGAGAAAATAAATCTGAACAGAGACTTGGAGGAGGTAGGGAGTGACTGAATATTTGGAGAAGAACATTCCAGGCCAAAGGACAAGCAGGTACAAAGGCCCTGAGGCAGAAGCATATCTGGTGGTTCCATGGAGGACATAGTGGTTGGAGGGCAATCTGGAAGTTGGGAGTGGAAGACACAGATGAGGCTGGTAGGACATAAGTCTCCATGTGTGTTTCTGAGAACTGAAGAAATATGCAGAACATTTTCTAGAAACTCTAGCCATCTGGTGTAACCTTTGGGTATTATTAAGAGATGAAGCTCATTATTATTAAGAAAAAAAGAAGGGGCAGATTTCTACTTGGGGGTTGCTGTGTCAATCTGGCTTCAGGGCAAAGGGCTGGAGAATTGCTATTTGTAGAAATGGAACTTTCTTGGGGTTTTCACTGGTGATGGGGGTCTAGAGACAAGGCACAGACCCTGGCTCAGCCCTTGAGAAGGTCGCCAAGTCTTCTAGGGGCCCCTGAGGCCAAGGCAGACCCAGCACCTGCCCCTCCAGCCCCATGGCTGCCATGTCTGCAGTGTTGGCCCATCCGTGTGTCATCAGGAAAAGGAACACAGATCTGGAAGAAGAAAGGAGCCATCTATGAGGGAGACTGGAAGTTTGGGAAGCGGGATGGCTATGGCACCCTCAGCTTTCCTGACCAAGAGATGGGAAAGCCCAGGAAAGTATACTCTGGCTGGTGGAAAGACGATAAAAAATCGGTGAGTGGTTCCCATCGTGCCCTGGGGTGTGGGCCAGGCTGAAAGCGGGCTGTGTGTGTGTGTGTGTGGAGGGGGAGAGGCGTGTGTGTGGGAGAAGGAAGGGGTGGGAAATCATCCAGGCTTCTCAGAACAAAACCCAGGAAACAGGAAGCAAGAGGAGAGGGTCTAGGGAGGAGCCCAAGAAGCCCTGTGGCACAAGAAACCAGCCAGGCTGTGTGGGGGCCAAGTCTCCTCCCTGTCTGCCCCACTCATTTCCTGGCTTTCTTCTCCCCAGTCATTCCTTTCTGAGAATCCCCCTTCTGTTGGGCCGGCACAAGAAAGGGGTAGGAAAAGTGGGAGCAAGAAAGCAGAGGCTACACCCTTGGCCACAGGGCAAGAGAGGAAGGTCCTGGAGGTAGAAGCCAGCCAGAACCAAGAAATGCCCGGACCCTCCTGTATCTCCAGAACGTGGCATACGGTGCTTCAACCAACTCACAAAGTCATCATCATCAGCATTCTCATTTTACTGATAAGGAAACAAGCCTGGAGAGGTGAAGTGCCTTGCTTAAGGCCACACACTGCTGGCGAGTGGTAGAGCTCAGGATTTTGTGATCTCTGTGCTCAAACTGTTTATTGGCCAGTGGGGAGAGAATTCCCAAAATAAACAATTTGCATACAATATGGCGTGAGGATAGAGATTTCCCCAGGGAGCCCACAGGAATATTGAGAATTCAGGGCAGGCTTCCTGTAGGAAGTAATACCAAAAGGTACAAAGAGTTAACCAGGGAGGGAAAAAAAGGAGAAGGGGAAGTAGCAAAGTAGTCAGAAGTGGCAAAGAATATGTCAAACAGCAAGGTGTGTGTGCCCACGGGGTGTGTGTGCCCACGGGGGGTGGGAGTGAGGGGAGGGGTAGATGGGGGGGCCTTGAAAGTTACGTGGAGAATCAGGATTTTGAAGAGTAAACTTGGGCTACTTAACCCAACTTCCTTAAGGTGTGATCTGCCGGGAGTCCATGATTCTCTGTGGTTGGACACTGAGCGGTGGTGTTCATTTTTCTGGGGAGAAAGTCCATAACTTTGATCTGATTCTCAGAGGCATCTGTGACTTTTAAGAGGGTCAAATCAGAGCTGAGGAAAAGGGGCAGACGTGATCAGATGAGCGATGTAAAGATCCTTCTAGCTGCTTCACGGAAGATGCGTGCGGAGGGGAGAATGGGAGAGTGGAGGAGGACCTGTGAGGAGGGGAGAAATGGTGGTGGGCTGCACGAAAGTGGTAGCGGAAGGGTGGAGGGGGGCGGAGAGCCTGGGCAGCTTTTTCAATGCACGACCATCAGTTTGGGGTGTAGGGCTGAGGGAGGAAGTAAGTAAGTAGTCCAAGTGTGTGGCTTGGGTGTCAGGGAAGATAGGAGTGGCTTTCCTAGCGGTTGGGGGCGCCATGAACAGGAACACCTTCGTGCTTTCAGGGCTATGGGATTCAGTTTTTCGGACCCAAGGAGTATTACGAGGGTGAGTGGTGTGGCAACCAGCGAAGCGGATGGGGCCGCATGTACTACAGCAACGGCGACATCTACGAGGGCCAGTGGTTGAACAACAAGCCGCATGGGGAGGGCATGTTGCGTCAGAGTAAGTGCCCCGCCCCGCCCCAGCCAGCCCCGCCCCAATGGCCTCCTGGCCACGCCCTCGGTTGGCCCTGCGTGGCTACGCCCACTCCCCGCCCCCAGCCCCGCCCAGCCCCACTCCAGCTCTGCTCCGGTTAAGGTGAAGGACAGGACCAGATACCGGACCACCTGGGGTTTCTGTACTAAAGGGGGAGCCTAACTAGACACATCAATAATTGAGACATTTTCTTATGGTCATAATAATTCTAGCCTACACTTACAAAGCACTGAGCTCATTTAATCCTCACTACAGTTCTCTAAGATGGTATTCTGACCATCCCCACTTTATGTAAAAATGAACTGAGGCACAGAGAGGTTAAGTCACTCGCTCAAGGTCAACGTAGCTTGTTCGTTGTGAGGTCAAAAGTGCTAAGGACCGGGGCGCCTGGGTGGCTCGGTTGGTTGGGCGTCTGCCTTCGGTTCAGGTCGTGATCCCAGGGTCCTGGATGGAGCCCCACGGCAGGCTCCCCGCTCAGCGGGGAATCTGCTTCTCCCTCTCCCACTGCCTGCCGTTCCCCCTGCCTGTGCTCTCTCTCACTATATCTTTTTTAAAAAAAGTGCTAAGCACTATCCCTTTAAAATAGTAAGGTGTGTTGGAGAATGACAAAGGAGTTGGGGACAGGGGCTATTTAGACAGACTTAGGGTCAGAGAATGTCTCCCTGAAGAGGTGACATTTGAACAGAAGACCTGAAGGAAGAGAAGGAGTTTGATACGCACTGAGCTAGGGAAGAACATTCCTAGGCAGAGCAGAGTCCTGAGTAAACCGCCTTGGCGTCAGGACTTAATCCATTCTCTACATAGTAACCAGCCTGAGCTTTTTACAGATAGGACCCTATCACTAACCTGCTCTCAACCTTCCCATAGCTCCCTCCTACCCTCCGAGTTCGGAGCCCTTACTGTGGTCTGCAGGGTCTGCAGTCCTGGAGTAGTGCCTCCCACCCGTGTCCCTTGGGAAACCCTCAGTTTCAGCCTTACTCATTTTCTTTCAGTTCCTCCCACACTTTTTGCCTCAGGGCCCTTGCACTGCTGTTCTCTCTTCCTGCAATAGAAAGAAGATCCTTCAGATCTCTGCACTGTCTCCTCCTCAGAGAGGCCTTCCCTGTTCATTCCACTAATGCATGTTCTCATTATCCTCAGCATCTGTTTCCTTTCCTTTTTAGCATATAATCTTGGGCAGGTTTCCTCCTCTCTCTGCCTGTTACCTCACCTGTAAAATGGGAATAATAGTAGTACCTACAAAGTGGTACTACTATGAACAGGGTCTGGCACATAGTAGGCTATCTATAAAGCTAGTGTCATTGTCTCTCCAGACTCTGACCTAGACTGCACATCTATTTTGTTCCCTGTTGTTTTCCCAGTGCCTGGCACATAGTCGGTGCTCTTGGTGAGGACACAAACCTGAGCTCGGTCTCCTGAAAACTCAAGACTCCAATTTCCAATGAGATTTGGCCAAACTGAGGCATTAGGTCAGCTGAGGAGGGTTGACAGCCATTTCTGTCTGTCATTCTCAATCCCCCATGCACCCAGCTCTGTGCTTGCTTTCAGTGAGCATCTACTAGTAACAGCCTGCACTTAGTGAGCACCTACTGTGGCCACACATAGTAGTGAGGGCTCCAAGTGTATAATTTCTAGTGGCCTGACTCTGAAGCCAGCCTGCCTGGGTTCAAATCCTGGATCAAGCTCTTACTAGCTACGTGACCTTCAGGCAATTTGCTTAAACTCTCTGTGCTTTGGTTTTCTCATCTGTAAATTAAGGATAAAAATACGACTTAACTAGAGTTATTGAGAAGGTTAAATGAGGTTTATAAAGTGCTGAGCATGGTGCCTGACACATAATAGTAAGTGCTCAATATATTATTAGCTCATACTTGTATGTAGCAGGTGTCATCAGACTACGATCCTTAGACCAAATCCAAATCCAGTTCAACACGTTTTTGTAAGTAAAGTTTTATTGGCACACCAGACTTGCTCATTCATTTACATATTGTCCATGGCTGCTTTCATGCCACAATGGCAGAGTTGTGACAGAGACCCTGTGCCCCACAAAGCCGAAAATACTGTCTGACCCCTTACAGAAAAAGTTTGCTGACCTCTCATCTAGAGTTTATCCAGTACTCTTCTAAGTCCTTTCTGTGTATCGACTTATTTAATCTCCACAACAATTCTATGAGGTAGGTGCTTCTGTTATCCCCATTTTACAAATGAGAAAGTGAGACAAAATGGTTAAGTGACTTGCCCAAGATCACATGGCTGTAAGGATCTGAGCTGAGAAGCGTTAGCTTTATTAGTATTCCTTTTATGCCACCACCAGCAGCAGCCAAGCAGGAGAGTGAATTCATGATTAAGAGCATGGGCTCCTGGGATGAACAGACCTTGGCTTCCAATCTGGTCTCTGCCACGTCCTGGCTCTGTGATCTTGAGCAAGTCAGTCAGACTCCCTGAGCTTTTCAAGCTCCATCTGTAAAAAATGGAGTCGGTTATCCTTCATAGAACTGTTTTTGGGAGGAGCGAGTGAGGTCAGAAACAGCAAAGAACCAGGCACAGAGTGAGTGCTTTAAAAACATTGCCTATTCATATCATTAGCTATGATTTTTTTACAAATAGGAAATGATGTTGTTCATCCAAGTTCAGGAAGGTAGTGGAGGCGAGAGGTGGACCAGGTCTGATTCTGGAAGTCACTGACACCCCCACCCCAGCCCCCAGCCCACCCCGGGTCTCTGATGTGTATAGGTCAGTCCTCCCAGACCGCAGGCAGCCCAGCCCCGGGGCACTCTGGTCAGCTGGGTTTCCTTCTGGCTTCCCCGTGGGCACAGTGTCCAACCTGGGCGTGCGGAGGGGCCAGCCTGGTAGTCTGCTCTGGTTAGGTGTGTCCAGCACCCACGTGACCCTGTCCTTTTCCCCAGAGAACGGGAACCGCTACGAGGGCTGCTGGCGGAGAGGCATGAAGAATGGGTCAGGCCGTTTTTTCCACCTGGACCACGGTCAGCTGTTTGAAGGCTTCTGGGTGGACGACGTGGCCAAGTGTGGCACAATGATCGACTTTGGACGCGATGAGGCCCCTGAGCCCACCCAGTTCCCCATTCCTAAGGTGGGCAGCACCCAGCAGAGCCCTGTGGCCACACCAGAGAGACAGAACACGGCACCCCCGCAGCCACATCCAGCCTGGCCAGGCCCAGCCCAGCCCAGCCCAGCCCAGCCAGGGAACAGACAGGTTTTGTTTTCAGTCAGGGCATCCCCATGGAGACTGGCCGCAGCCCACAAGGCAGACAGCACCTCCAAAGTAGGCAGCACCCCAAAGGCTGGCAGCCTGGGCCTTCCATGCTCCTCAATCCAACCCCTTACTGCTTCCCTCCAGATCAAAATTCTAGACCCTGATGGCGTGCTAGAGGAAGCCTTGGCCATGTTCAAGAAGACAGAGGAAGATTGATGCCAGGTGAGGGGTGGGCATGCTCTCCAGCCTCCGATGTGGTTGAGGCAGCTCCTGGGTTCTCCTTTGGTCAAGGAACTCGGGGGCAGGAGCAGAGGGTGGGTTTCTTGCTTCCTGAACTCCAGCTGGTCTGGTTCTTCTTGGTTCCTTCCCTTCAAAACTCATTTCCTTGAAGACCAGTTTGCTCCTGAACGCCCTTGAGTAAGGTGGTTTGCCCCAGGCCTGCACTTGCTCATCTGTCCCAGCCGCTCCTGGTGTGGGTGTCAGGGGGTTTGAGGAGAGGGCATTGGTATGGCATCTTGGAGTCGCCGGCTCTCACCAGCCCCTTACCCCCGCAGAGGGCACCCCAGAGCTTCCGGAGAAATTCAGGCCCGTCACCCAACTGCTCAAACTGGTGTGGCTTCTGCAGGAGTTGAGTGGTGACTCGGGGCACACCCTTGGCACCCTCTGAGGGCACCTCACTCTTCCCAGCACTGGATTATTCTCTCCCCAGCTGACTTTGGGGACCCTCTTGTTACAGTCTTCATTCTTGGTCATCATTCCTGAGAGCAAGAGTATAAAGGAGAACCTGGTGGCATCGGCCCCAGGCTCGTGGTGTGTGATTGCGACGGAGGGGGTGCAGCTCTGGGAGGGACTTTAGGTGAAGAGGGAAGACGTCCCCGCAGGCTGCATGGATTTACTCTGGGGGAGAAAGAAGAGCCTGTGTCTCGTCACACTGGCCACTGAGATTTGGGGTTGAGAGCCGACCTGGCTTCTCAGCCTAACACAGGAGTGCTCAACCTTGGGATCCTGTGGGAGCTTTAAAAGCTACGGACACCTAGGCCTCACGCCCAGACTCTCATCTGTCTGGGGTGAGGCCTGGGCCTTCAGAAAGTTCCCCAGACGATTCTAATGTGCAACTGGGCCCAGAATCCCTGAATTACTGGCTTTGTGACCCTAAGCAAGTGACCTCAGTTGCCCCACCTGTAAAACGGCACTTAGGAGATCTCACAGGGTGTTTTTCAGGATTTGCTAACAGATGTAATAACAACAAATAACATGTATTGAGGTTGTGAAGCAGAGATCTGGGAAGAGCTTTGCATTATTCTAGACAACATTCTTCAAGATAAAAGGGATTCTTACATAATGGGTAGGAACATGAGCTCAGCAGACAGACTGCCTGGATGTGAATCCCAGCAGTGATTTAGGAGCTGTGTGTTCTTGGATAGGGCACCCAACCTCTCTGTTCTCTAGGTCTCCTCCCCTCAAATACGGGGCAATCATGGTCCTTGCCACCCAGGTTATTTGGTTAACATGAGGATGAAATAAGGCATGTTCCTAATCCAAGAGTGATTTTGTCTCCCCTCCCTCCCTGGGGACATTTGGCGATGTCCAGAGACATTTCTGGCTGTCACACTGGCAGGGAAAAATATTACTGGCAACTCGTGGGTAGCAGTTGAGGATCCTGCTAAACACACTATAATGTGAACACTCAACAATAGAACTTTTCAGCCCAATGACCAAAGTGTAATCCTGTAATTCCATGATGTTCACTAAGGCCTCAGCAAGTGCCTGGCACACAGTAAAGTCTCCATAAACACTATTTCCTGTCTGCCTTTGAAATCCTAAGCAGGGGGTGGCCTAACCCAAAGGTATGGTTCTGTCTAGACCTCTCACACCAGGAAGCTGAGCCTGGCGCACTCGGGGGACACAGAACGTTCACTTGGAAGCCAGGCCCTGTGCTGACAGCTTCATCTGTCTCCTCCCCCCCGCCACATGACCCTACAACAACTTCTGAGGGTGCCTGCTATTATGATTGCCATTTTAGAGGAGGAAGCAGCTTCAGGGAGGTTCACAAGTCACAAAGCTAGAAAGTAACTGTACTTACACTTAGATCTATCTGCTCTTAAAGTGACAGAGCATAGAGAAGTCTACCTTTTTTTCTCCCCCCACCCCCGAAAAAGTAGGGCATGTTCTTGTTTATGCATGAAATCTCTCTAGATGGGGACACAACACACTGGCAACAATGGATGTCACTGGAGAGAACCAGGAACCTGGGAACAGGGGAGGGCGGGCGACTTTTCACTGTTGTATTTGGAACCTGTGAATGTATTTGTGTCTGAAATACAAAGAAAACTGAAATGAGAGACTGTCCTTTACCGGCGTTTCCCTGAGCTGCCTGGGTTTGAGCACCCGGGGTGTTAAAAATACAGATTCTAGGGTTGTCTGGGTGGCTCAGTTGGGTGAGCGTCCAACTCTTGATTTTGGCTCAGGTCATGATCTCAGGGTCGTGAGACTGAGCCCCATGTCGGGCTCTGTGCTGGACATGGAGCCTGCTTAAGAGTCTCTCTCCCTCTCCCTCTGGCCCTCCCCCCCCCCAAAAAAATACAGATTCTAGATCTACCCAGACCAACTTTCCAAGGGAAAGGCTTGGAAATCTACATTTTACAAGCCAATCTGGTGATTCTTGACTTGGGGCAAGTTTAGGAAGGAACACCTAACACTAGAGTCACCGGCCGGGTATTATTGCAGCCAGCTCCCAGGTCCCTGCAGAAGCAGGGAGGGGGTGGGGGAGGGGAATGCATGGAAGATGGCTAGGTCTTCTCTGGGGAGCAATGGAGAGTTTCACACAGGGGCCCCTGCTCCCCACTATTCAGTCCTAGTTAGGGGGCTGTCCAGGGCCCGGGGAGGGTGGGTCCTGGTGCGTGTGATGCAGGATGGAGGCAAGAAGCTACAATAGGAAAAAAAAGGAAGGCCCTCTGCCCCACTCAGCCCGCAAAGCTGCTATTAGCACGTCCAGGTCTGCACAGGAAAAGAACTTAAGGCCACACTTTCCCCCAATCAACTTTCACTTCAGTCAGAGGACTTTGTTTTTATAAAACCACGTTCTGTATTGTGTTTCTGGGACCACGGGGGGCCAGGCAAGTAACATAAACAAAGCTGGCCTGGTGTGAGACAAGAGGGAGTGGTGGGGACTGTGGCAAACACATCTCCTGGGGAAGGGGGTGGCTGTAACTCCATGCCTTCTCACTGTTGCTCTGTGAGAAAGTGGGACCAGTGCTGCTGCTGGATCTCCCAATTTCTTAAGCAAAGACAAAATCAGCATATAAGATTTTTGTGAGAGCTGGGCTCTGAGCCAGACTCTCCAGGTTCGAATTCTGGCCAATCACCTAACCTCTTTGGGCAACAATTTCTGCCATCTGCAAAACAGAGAGAAATATTCCTGCCAAGACTCACATCCTGATCGTAACTGCGGGAAAGTATGGGGGAAACCACACCGAGGTAGCATTCTACAAAACCACAGGCCTGGACTCCAAAAATGTCAATGTTAGAAAGGACAAGAAAAGGCTGCTCCAAATTTAAAGCAACCAAAGAGATGTGACAAGTGACTGCAACACATGAGCCTGAAGGGAAAAATCATGGCTAGAGAGGACATGATCAGGACAAGTGGAAAACTGAACACGAACGTCCCATTAAATAGTACTGCATCAATGTCACATTTCCTGAATCCGATCAGTGAATTAAGGTTAAGGAGAAGAACATCCTTGGTTTTAGGAGGAAGTATTTACGCATGAAGGATGGTATCTGCAACTAAGAGATGTGGGCTCGGGAGAGAAACACACAGCTCATCCTCCTCATTCACAGCTTCAGTATTTGCCGATCTCCTACTTGCTAGTTCAAACAGGCGCCACTCTGCCTTCTTGTCTCAGCCTTCCTAAACAAGTGTCCTTTTACCATTTAGGGCCACGCTTTTCACATTTGGTGCTTTTTGTTGGTGATTTTACCATTTTTAAAATTTGTTTTTAATTTTTATTTTAAGGAGGCTCCATGCCCAACATGGGGCTTGAACTACATGACTCTGAGACCAAGAGTCGCACGCTCCACCAACTGAGCCAGCCAGGCGCTCCGGTGATTTTGCTATTTAAAAAGAAGGCAGTGGGGCACCTGGCTGGCTCAACTGGTGGAGCGTGCGACTCTTAGTCTCGGGGTTGTGAGTTCAAGCCCCACGTTGGATGTAGAGATTACTTTTAAAAAAATAAAATCTTTAAAAAGAAGGCAGTGATGTGCCTTACAGAGAAAATGCCTCTTGGAAAAGCTTCATTTAGGTACAGGTTATTGTGCTGTTAGCCATAAGTGAGTTCGTTGCTCATGAATCAACAATGTGTATTAAATATGGCGTCTTTAAACAGAAATGCACATGGGGTGCCTGACTGGCTCAGTTGGTAAAGCACACAACTCTTGATCTCGGGGTTGTGAGTCTGAGCCCCACGCTGTGTGCGGAGATTACTTAAAAATTAAAACAAACAGAAACAGACAGAAACACATAAAACAAGGTTACCTACTGAATGCCTGGCAGAATATCATGACCAAAGGCTCATAGGAACCTAACCCCACAGGAGCAATGGTTCGATATCCACTAATTCCTAGAACACAACCGCTGTGAATGACGAGAATAGACTGTCTATGTATTTCAGTTACTATTCGTGCAACTTTTTTGTAGGTTTGAAAATTTTCAAAATCAAATGTTAAAAATTTTTTTTTGCTTAGAGGCTCACCTGATTGGGGCACCAGGAGAAATAATACCAGGCAGTCCAGACCCAACAAATACACACACAAGAGGTATCCCTTATGAGTATATTTATGTGCATGTGCACACATGTGTGCACACACACACACACACAAACACACACACACACGACACTGAACGGGGAGGGAGGTCAAGACAGAAAAGACAAGAAGCATCCAAGTGGCACGGACACAGGGAGGAGGAGGGACAAAGGGAGCATTTGTCCCCACTCTGGCTCCCACTGGTGGCCTCCTACCAGGAGGTGAACCCGAAGCTGGAAGAAGAGGAAGTGCTCATTCTCTCAGAGGAAAGTTTCAAAGTGCAGTCATTTCTCTTAAAAGAAAAAAAAAAAAAAGCCTCTTCCTCCACTCTCTGCCCCCTTACAAAAGCCCAATCCTCTGAGCTGGCTGTCCTTGAGGCTGGCGCAGGACGAGGTCGTGGGGAGCGGCGTAAGGCCAGAGATCTGACGTGCCCGAGCCCAGAAGGGCTTACGCATAGTGGCTGGTGGGTGTCAGGGGGTGATCCCCTCTGTGGTCCAGCTGGTCCTGCAGGCGGGCAAACTCGGCCAGCTCGTTGAGCTCCTGAAACTGTCGGTCCGTCTTATGGCTGACCAGTGAGCGGTAGAAGTGGACGGCAAAGACAATAAAGACCAGGCCAAAGGGGACCATGATGGTAGTGGAGGCGATGGCAGCAGCCTGGCCGGGGGTGATGCCGCCTGTGCTGCTGTTGACGCTGGCCACCGCGCCGCCAGCCGTGGGCTTGCTGGTGGGCCGGGGCTGCCCCGGCTGCTTCTTGAGGGGCAAGAACTTGACCCAGCAGAGCAGCACAACCTCGGCCAGGAAGAGCAACGTGCCGATGACGGTGGAGAAGGCCCAGGCTAGCTCGATGTGGCGGTGCATGCGCTCATGGGGCGACTCCTTGACTGAGTTGAGGTTGTGCACGTTGCTCACCGCCTCGATGTTGGGCAGGATGCAGGTGCTGATCATGAGCGCAAACAGGTGCACGGCCACTAGCACTGTGGTGCAGGCGCTGAAGGCGATGAGCAGCCCTGGCGGGTAGTCATGGTCGGCGTCCAGCTGTACCTCCACCATCGCCACCTAGGGGGTAGGGGAGAGGCGGGCTGAGCGCCAGGACCGTCACGGCCCACAGAGCCACACTCAAATCCTGGCTCCCCATCAAGCTCCTGGACCCTGGGCAAGTCACCTGGCCTCTCTGAGCCTCAGTTTCCTTATCTATATAGTGGGGATAACAGGACCCACTCACTCAGGGTTGAGAGAGTACTAGTGAAGATAGCAGGTTTGGAGTCCAGGCTGCCTGGATTTGAATCCCAGTTCTACTACTTGCTAGCCACATGTCCGTGGGAAAATCACTGAGCTCTCTTGAGCCTCAACTTCTTTATTTGTAAAAGCAAGATATCACAGTAGTTCATAGGATTATTTCAACGGTTAAGTGAGAGGGGGTCCCTGGTACATGGTAAACATCTCCCAAATAGTCACCACTGCTCCTAACACCCAGCCAAGTATTAAAAACCAACCACGACAAACAGTTAAGATGGTAAGTCTGGTGTATATTTTACTATGATACGGTTTCATTAAAAAGAAGAAGAAGCAAGCAACCACTAACCACTCTCTCTGCTGGCCCCACATCTGTTCCCGAACACAGGCTTCTCCTTCATGCCCTGCTCCAGGGACAAGGAGAGGGGTGGGGTAGAGAGATGAAGGCCCTCCCAGGTCAGGCCCAGGCCCTTTCTGAGAACATAGTGCACCAACCAACAAGGAACGCAGAAGCTGCCTAGAAGACACAGAGCCCAGTGTTGTTACAGTGTGGCTGGCAAGCCCTGGGGCCATCTCCTCCCCCAGCCCCCCCAGCCTCCGCTCCGGGCCCCACAGCTGACGCACTAGCTGCTTCCCAGTTCCTGGAGACGTGTGGACCCAGGGTCATCAGGGGCACATTCTGGGCCTGCCACCTGATGCTTCTCACCTGGGCCCTTGCAGATCACCCCCATGTGAACGAGCCGGCTCATCAGATCTGGGCCGGGAACTGCGGGCAGTGGGCACACTGCCAGGGTCTGCCTGCCCGGGCTGGAGGGACTGGGCCAGCAAGCGCCAATGACAATACCATTAAGCATAGTGACCCTTCATAAAGTGTTTGCTATGTATGTACCAGGCTCGGCGGGGCGGAGGGGGGTGTCCAATGCTGAGATGTAGCCCCTTGCCCCATACCAGCCTACCCTGACCCCTCCTTATTCTTTTTTTTTTTAATTTTTTAATTTTTAATTTTTTTTTTAAAGATTTTATTTATTTATTTGAGAGAGAGAGAATGAGAGATAGAGAGCACGAGAGGGAAGAGGGTCAGAGGGAGAAGCAGACTCCCCGCTGAGCAGGGAGCCCGATGTGGGACTTGATCCCGGGACTCCAGGATCATGACCTGAGCCGAAGGCAGTCGCTTAACCAACTGAGCCACCCAGGCGCCCCATTTTTTTTTTTTTTAAAGATTTTATTTATTTATTTGAGAGAAAGAATGAGAGAGAGAGAGCACATGAGAGGGGGGAGGGTCAGAGGGAGAAGCAGACTCCCTGCTGAGCAGGGAGCCCGATGTGGGACTCGATCCCGGGACTCCAGGATCATGACCTGAGCCGAAGGCAGTTGCTTAACCAACTGAGCCACCCAGGCGCCCGACCCCTCCTTATTCTTGGGGAAGGGCTGGGCTCGCTCTTTCCCCACTAGCTCTCCTTCTGCCCGAATGCCTGGTCCTGTTTGCTTTCATTTCTTGTACCTCTCTGTACCCTTCCTTTGGCCTGGAAAGGCAGTGTGGGCCAGTGGTTGGGAGCACGGGCTCTAGAGCCACGCTGCCTGGCTTTGAACCTTGCCTCCTCTGCCCTTTCTTCGGCTACATGACTCTGGCAAGCTCCTTCAACTTTCTGGGCCTCGGTTTCCTTATCTGTAAAATGGGAAAAACGGTACATGATCAGAGGATTGTTGTGAGGACTAAGTTGTTTGTAAGATACTTAGGTCCATGTAAAATACTTAGAGCCTGGCACAGAGTAAACACTCAATAAAAGGGAGCTTTATTATTATTTTTCAGCTTAGAAACCTCATCTGCAAACCTACTACCTCTACATGGAATCCTCTGTGGCTTCTACCCTCCTGCTGGAGAGGTATGCTCGGAATGACAGAACAGCAAGGTCAAACTGGGGGCGTGAGTCCTGGTTCCAGAACCACCCCTGCTTCCTTGTTTGACCTTGGTCGAAACCCTCCCCTCTTATCTGTAAAAGGAGGGCACATGGCGAGATGAAGGTCACAGGGTAGAGCTGACGTGGGGTCTGACACCTTTGAGAATCTGGTGAAAATAATGGATACCCTCCTTAGAACATCCAGGTATATATATATATATATTCACAGGACTTTTCAGACAATTTCAACGAGATTCACAGACTCTTGCCCTACACTTGCCACAACGGATGACCATATGAACAGTTCAGCCCAGGAGTTTTCCAACTCCTATAAACCTGGGGCAGTGCCATCAGGATTTCAACTCTTTTTTTAAGATCACTGGTGTTGGGATGCCTGGGTGGCTCAATCGGTTAAGTGTCCGCCTTGGCTCAGGTCATGACCCCAGGGTCCTGGGATTGAGCCCCACATCGGGCTCCCTGCTCCGCAGGAAGCCTGCTTCTCCCTCTCCCACTCCCCCTGTTTTGTGTTCCCTCTCTCGCTGTCTCTCCTCTGTCAAATAAATAAATAAAATCTTAAAAAACAAAACAAAAAATAAATAAGATCACCGGTGGCCTAATGCCAATCCTGAGACTTCTTAGTACACACGGGTGAGGGCAGGCCACCAGGGCACACTGAGTTAAGGGACACATCCCAAGACCCCCTGGTCTCTGTCACCAGGCCTGCTGCCCACGCTGGAAAAGGGGGGCACCCTCCAGCAATGCGCGCCTCCTGCTACCACCTCCCCACCCCGCCCCAGCACTTCCTCTTCCTGTTTTGGCCTGTTGCCCCGGAACCTGAAACCAGAGAAGGGACAAGCAGGAGAGCCCGCTGCTTGGCTGCCCCAGGTCCCCTGGCTAAATTTATTCACTCACTGGAAATGTCCACACCCATTAGGTACATCGGGCCCTGAGCTGAGCACTTGGTGGGGACATACACAGGTAACTACTCTGTTCCCTTACAGAACAGATGATGTCTCCCCCTCTATGTAGCTGGGAAGAATGAATCGGTTCCTCCACTTAACAAAGCTGCTGGGTGACCCTGGACAGGTCTTTCAACCTCTCTGTACCACATCTATAAAATAAGGGCCTATTTATGGTTGTTGCAAGCATTCAATGAGCTAAAGAATATAAAGCCCTTAGAACAGGACCTGGCATATAGTGAGCTTAATAGAGTGTCAATGATTATGAGCAACGTCATTATTATTCTTTTACAAATGAGGAAACAGTCTCAGAGAGGTGAGGTCAGCTGTCCCAGAGGTTGTAAGAACTGCTACTAAGTGGGAGCTCTGAACTCAAGTCCACTTGGCTCTAAAGCCCAGGGATGACAGGAGTGCTATTCCCGCATGGATGCTGCTACAGATCGAATGTTTATGTTCCCTCTAAATTCACACCTTGAAATCCTAACCCCCAACGTGATGGTCCTAGGAGGTGGGGCCTCTGGGAGGTGATCAGGACATGAGGGTGGAGCCATCCAAGCAGGACTGGTGCCCTTAAAAAAGAGAGCCTGGAGAACCCCTTGCCCCTCCTGGGATGGAAGGGCACAGTGAGTAGACAGCAGCTCTGAGTCAGGAAGCCATTCCCTCAACAGATTCTGAATCTGCTGACACCTTGATCTTGGACTTCCAGCCTTCAGAAGTGTGAGGAAATAAATGTCTGCTGTTTATAAGCCTCCCAGTCTGTCCGTCTGTTACAGCAGCCCAGACAAAGACAGTCACTGAGGAGACTGATGGATGAGGTCTTGACATGTAAGCATTTAACACAGAGCCAGACCACAGGAGGTGCTCAATCAATTTTAGTTGAAAAGAAAAGCAGGGGGCTTGAAGCAGAAGAGAAAGAGCCCCCCTGGGCTCTGGGCCGGCTCAGGTGGTAGAAATGCAGCTCTTGACCTCGGGGTCATGAGTTCGAGGCCCACGTTGGGTGTAGAAATTGCTTAAATAAATAAAATTTAAAAAAAGAAATAAAAGAAGAATAACCCCTGGACACGGTCAACTCAGGCTGGAGAGTATGGACCCCATGAGCCAAGGTTCTGCCCTCTGGGGTGGGTGACGAGGTTGGATCCCCACTCTGGGCCTGGTCTGCCCCAGCTCCAAACCTGGGGCATAAGGAGAAAGTGTACCCCAAACCACACTGGGCCACATGGCTACCTCGGCAGGACAGAGACCATCTTTTCCATACCATGTGTCACATTCACAGGATCCAGGACCAGAAATCATAGCTACTGGCACATACCCAGCCTGGGGACACCAGAACCCGCCAGCCTTCCCTAAGGTCTTAAGTTGGGGAAAGGCTGGGCCCAGCAAAGCCTGAAATGCTGGGCACTCCAAAGAAGAGGAAAGGCCCGGCTGCCAAGCTCTGGAAGAAACCCCATCACCCTCACCACCAGCCCCGACAATTCCTGGGACTTTGACCATACTGGCCGGCTGTATGTACTGTTGCCACACTGGGGACCAAGTTCAGCACCATGGGGCTGCGGAAAGGTATAACGTGGAGAACGAACGGATGGCACGCGTCTTGGATCCTGATAAAAACCATTCACGGGAATACGAGCCACTGTTTTTTCCAGAATGCTTCCCTCTTGGGAAATCCGCCCCCCCCAGATAGGGAGAGTAAAGTCAAGGGGGCCTTGTGGAATCTGGCAGGCAACTCCCAGGGCCCCAGCTGAGTCCCAGAGAGATCGGATCAGATCAGATTGCAAGCAGCTTCGCAAGGTAAATATAGCCAGAGTGCTGGGCCCGTTAACCCAAAATAAACAGCTCCCAGCCAGCCAAGGGCCTGCTTGAACCTGGCCACATGAGGCCTAAAGGGACAGGAAGGATGAGAGACTGCCAGCCCCACCGCACGCTGGTCCATGGACCCTGCACAGGGGCCACTAGGACGCCAATTTTT